CCAAAAATACATATAGGTCAGGCCCTAGTTTGTATGCAGCTTTTAACTTCATAATAACAATGCAAAGTCTGAGGATGTTGGAGTCAGCCTCAAGTGGACACTCAAGGAACTACAATGCTTTTCCCTTTACCATTAGCCTCACATTTCGACACAGGAGCTCATTATTTCTGTCTTTGATTACATCAGCTGAATCTATTCATTCCCTCCTCTCCAACGGTCCATCTGCTCCACCAAGCCACCACCTTCCTCCTCCTTGATTTCCCTCATGTGGTCCCTTTCTTCCTCCAGTCCACCACTCCCTCTCCTGTTGCTAATCCCTGTTTGAATTAAGACCACGGGGACATCTCCATGCTCCTGAACTGTAGAAATCCATTAGCATCAGTGTTAACGCTAGGCCACTGTCTGCTCATTACAGCCTAGATTCCTGTCTGGCTGACTGAGGATCTCAGGGTCTGCTACATGCTGACGGACATTAAAGCTGGAAGTGCACAGCAGCTGACTGCACACTGCCTCAGGGAGACACAGGGAGAGAAGGAGGGAGGGGTTGCTTCGTCTAGGATTACATAAGTCTAAAGTCACAATCAGGGTGAGTGGGTTAGCTTAGCAAGCCACCAGTGGGAATGCACCTCTGTGACTTAAGATTATCTGATCTTTTAATGATTAAAACTTATCCATCCATTCATATCGAATATGGCACTCTTAAGTTGGGGGATATGTACACTGTGACAGTGTTTATAGAAACACAGAAGTAAACACTAAAAGATTCATCAGAGCAACAAAAATTGGAATGATATGTTGATGGTAAATGATTAAGAAAGAAAGAAAGAGAGCACATTTCTGTCATCAGAAGGATAATCAAAAGCTTTTTTTGCTAAATACGTGTCCCAGATACTTTTACAGTGCAGCAGGGAGCATCACTCAGGGCGCCTCAAAGTAAAACTATTGCATCCTTATGTAACTAACTTGTAACTTGTCATAACTTTATGAAACTTCCCACTGTTTAATGACGGTGTTGTGATTTGATTTTTTGTACTTTTCCCTGCATTGTCATCAGTTGGAGTTCATGCTCTCTCATCAACTTTATGACAACTTAGTGAAGTTCAAAAGGAAGTCGCAGAGTAGTGGGTGGAGATGACATGGGTATGAAAGGGCAAGAGTTCTCTAAACTGATTCAGGGCCTCAAGCTTTGTCACCAGAACCTGAGAGCCAGCTAGTAGGCCTATGGATATGTCATAGTTTAAAAGTCCCGTATGAAAACATATTCAACTATTTACAGCAAATCTCATGGCTATTTTTCTTACGTCACTCCCCACTCTCTTTTCCTATTTCCTCTTGTGTTGACTGTCTCATCTCTTCAAATTAAAAATGGTAAAGAGTCCAAATATATCAAAAAAGGGACAATGCAGAGATGGAAAAGTACCCCACAAAATGGCAAGTGCTCCAGAAGAACCCATGCCGGTATGGAAAAGACCAAGTAGTACACTGCCTGTTTTCCAGAACCCGTCCTCCTCTGATACTAAAAGGAAATGCAACCATCTTTTTAGTTAGTCCCAAGTACTAGGACAGAGCATTGATATTTTCAGATAGAGTAGTTGGCATGTCTGGTGTTAGTGAAGAAAACCCACATCCACACTAAGGGAAGCAGAGTTAAAGGTGGGGTAGGCAGGATCTGAAGAAGTGCCAGTTAGGTTAGAAATCTTAAATGTAAACACTCCCCCTCCCAAACAGTTTTCCCCTCAGCTCCTCTTCTCCCCTCCGTCTCTGCTCTAGCAAACCCTGCCCACAAACAGACGCTCCTGCTCGCCCGTATTGTTTTAATTCAATTCAGATATAATGCAGATAAATACTTAGGATAATCACAAATGGGGCCGGGTCAACGTGAAAGTAAAAACCATTGGTGCTACTGTAGATGCCAACAGACTATCAGCAAACACAATGTTTGCAGGACTTCTACAACTAGGATAAAGGTTTCTACTGTCTGATATTGCAGCACCCTAACTTTTTTTGGGCTACTGACTGATATTAAAAGGTTTTTTGTGTATACACCACAAAAAAAAAGATGCTTCTTTAACGGATTACTGCCTACCCCACCTTTAATTAAGAAGCAAGTGTGGTTATGCATCCATGCCTATGCAAATCACTCCTGTTGTGACATCACCACAGGAGCCAATTTATATCACTGTACAGGAGCCATGTTTTCCCCCACAGAAGAAATATTTTGCCCTGGAAACCAATTGATAAGCAATCCATGAGGATGAGCAGCAGAGTAGTTAAACAATAAGAATATGATTGGCTGTCACTCGTCAGAGGCTGTTATGTGTTGGGGAATCTACCACTGATAGTGAAACATGAAGGACTTGAAGACTTGACACAAGTGTTCCGCCTCTTGCTGTGCAAATCAAATCTCCTTAACCGTGTTTCATACCACCCAAAAAGGGGAAATAGTTATCACAATTCAAGGGATAATACAATGCCCCGCGTTCATGCAGGAATGATCAAACTTCAGCTCTACATGCTAAGCCGAGCATACTAAGCTGTAATACCCACTAAAGCGTAACACTACACTTCCTGATCCCACAACCTGAAACAGAAAGAACATTCTCCGCTGATGAGCTCATCTAAATAACCTTGACCGGTATTATGAATGACTTCCTGCTTGAATTAGAGATTATGTTTGTAAAGACAGCAGCAAGGATAAAGAGATTTGTTAGATCTGCTTTGAGCATTAGGGTGCAGGTGTGAAGGTAATAGGGAAACTTTTAAGGGGAAACTCTGCATGAATTACATTAGTATTACCGGTGGCGCCCTTTTTTTAACCAAACATGGCAATTACAGCCTCCTGACCCTCATAGAAAAACTACTAAATTGACAAGACTTAGAAACTTTTCTATCCATTATGTCAAAACAGGCCTGAGTACTTGTGACTGGTCCAAACTGCAGCTTTTAAATCCCATCTGAGTCGTGATCTGGGGGATGTTTTCAGTCATTATCCTCTCCAAACATTACTGACTCTGATAAAACATCTTGAGAACCTTTTGCTTACTTAGTGTGATGATTTTTCGGTAAAGAATTCAGATGAGAGGCGATCGTGCAATTTCAGTTCAGGACAAGAAGTGGATATTGGGAGGCTGTGGTGGAAAATAATACCATTTTGATGGCATCCTTTCAAATTATTCGTCTGCTCTTAGTCCCCATTGTATTTGCCAATTTATTCTTCCTCATCCTACTAGGCAGTCTGCCTTCCCATGCATGAAATAAACAAATCTTTGCACTTAGGTCCGGTATGATGCCAAAATTCCTAAAAAGAAATTCTGGCTACTTTCCAAAGATTAAATCCCACGACGGCTCAGCCATCATTTTTCAACTTTTAGCGGATAAAAGCTCACTGTGAAGTCTATCTCAGTACTTTTATCAAAAGTTCCAAAACTGATGCAGCACTCATTTCATTCAGATTTTCAGTTAAAAGGACATTGAAAACCAGATCGAAACTTAAAAACGGTTCTGGACATCATTTTTCCACTTACCAAGCCATCAATCTCTGTATAAATAAACAGTTGTTTGGATGAAATGCATTTGCTTGACCTTGAGATTCAACCCTGTTGATTTCAGTCGCTTCATGAATCCATGTGATTACCCACTCATTGTTGGAGTTAAAAGGCTGTGATTGAACGTCCACTGAGGAATTCTGACGCATGACTTCTAGTTAGTTTTTTATTCAATTTTTTTGTCTTTCCTCTGCCTCCACCTTTTTTAAGATCTCCTGGTTTTGTCGTCATCACCAAATTGCCCAATCTTAACTTCATAATAAGCAGCTAAAACTGTCGTATTATTAGATCGTGTATGATACATCCTGTAAGAAGTTAAACAATATGCTGATTCTGAGGCTGTCTTCAAAAGGTGATGCATCTCTGCTCAGTTTCATGAATGATTTATGTTCATTTTTAAGTGTTTCTAATAAATTCTGATTGAAGAGGAAAACACTTTGATGCTGTTATCAGAGTTTGAACCTCTCTTCGTTGAAAGTATCTCATCTGTGTTTTGTTTTTTTGTTTTTTTTACATCTGAAAAAAGTTGAGGAAGAAGTTTGAGCATCATTTGCTTGCTAACAGGCCAATGTTCTTACCTCCTGAAAAAGAAAATGCGAGGGAGTCGTCCTTGCAGATTTCCAACATTATTGTGTCAGATTCACTTAAGAAGCTTCCCACCAGCCTGCAATATCTTTCACTTTTTGAACATTAAGATTTAAAGTCCTATCCCGGGGCTTCACGCTGGCCGTGTTTAGCTGCAGTACAAAAGCGCTATTTGTCAAAGCTATTGAATTTTGTTGTCGGATCACTCCTCCTTTTTCTGCAGATATCCTTTTTTTTTTTTTTTTAATCTGTGCAGTGTTGAGCAACACAAAGGCGCACAGCTGTGAGAGACAAAGTCTGATCTATACGTGCACATGTTCACGGATCTGTAGGAGTTTTTATCACCCGACGTTTTAAGATCAATAAGAAAGGAAGCTAATCCAAATTTAACGCTTTTCACCCATGCAAAATCCTCATCTTTTCATGCAAAATCAATAAAACACATGTGATATATTAATAAACCACACTCTTAATCTCTTCTTGCTAATATGAATGCACATTTCTTGGTAAATACGCATCCGCCTGATCTTATTTACACACGATCGCCTTTCACACGAGCCTTAATTGCCACGAATTTATCAGAAATTTCTCTTGCATCATAAGCGCTTCTGTTCCACTTCATTTGCAAGACTTCCATTAGCGCTCGCAGCTTAAACACACTTGCGTTTCCTGGCGTATGCATGTCTGAACGCGAGCGTGTTTGTGCTTTCTTGTTCAAACCATCGCCCTTAGAGATTTCCCCACTAATGATCGAATCCAACTTTCAGACATGATTGCAGCCTCATTGCACGTGAATCGCTCCCCCCTTTTTTTTTTTTTTGCCCTCTCTCTGTTTCTCTTTTCTCAGAATATGAACGTACTGTATTTCACCAGCACGGCCCATTTATCTGGTCCAATCTCTGTCCCATAGTGGAAACTTTTATTGAGATGAAGGGGATAATAGTTGTAGATGTGCGCACGCCGGGGCGTGATGTAAAACCATCCGAAGGCATAAAGAAGTCCAAAGTGTGAAAAGCGGCCTGCTCTCTGTTGTGCATCACGTGGCGCCATTAGGACGCTCACGACTGGCTGTGTGTGTATATCAGCCCGAGTGCAGTCAAGGACATGCCTCATTATTAATAAGCACCTCAGTACAAGAGACACCATTTGATCCCCTTGTTATGACTCTTAAAGTCTGCAGTCTTTACTTTTAAAGAGGAGAACGGTTGTGCGGCACATCAGCCATGCAAATTCAATCATTGAACATATGCTATGAAATTTGTGTGATTATAATCAAGCAGCAGTGAGGAGAGAAAAGTTGTTGTTTGGAGACGGCTGCTTGAGTTATCCCCCTTATTGGTGTAATAACTTAAGATTTGTCTGTCAGTGGATTCTCAAGCATAGAACCATTCATCACGGAGAAGTCGTTTGCTCACTCACAAATTAATGAAGTCATATACTGTTTTAAAATATACGCTCTGTCGAAACTTTATTGAAAAACTCATAAACACTGGCTGAGATTGTGCATCTGTTACATGACATTTTACTTAACAAGCTTGAGTATCTTTTGAGGTCTTTGTGAAACAGTCTGTTTTGTAAGGTTTCCCTGCTCCAACACACCTGATTCAAATGATTAGCTCGTTATCAAGCTCTGTAATGGCTTACTAACGAGCTGATCATTTGAATCAGGTGTGTTGGAGCAGGGAAACATCCAAAACATGCAGGATAGTGGGCCTCGAGGACTGGACTTGAGAACCACTGGTCTATCTCATACCCTTATTTTGTGTGCCCTCCTTGACCTTCCAAGGTGTACTGTGGTATCCTGTTAAGGTTGTCCAAACTTAGGGTCGCAAAGTTGCGGGAATTTTCAAAGTTGGAAACTTTCCATGGGAATTAACGGGAATAAATCTGAAATTTACAAAATTGAAGGTTGGCCATCAACAGGAACTCAACAGGGTTGTTTGGCCCTCAAACAACCAGATTTAATGCAAGTACACTCCTCAATTGCATGCACACAGCACACTGCTTACTGCAGGGCTATTGAGGCCCCCCTACATATCTCCATCACATGCACAGATGACTTCTTGAACCCTGGAGGCCACTCTTTTGAGCCCAAAGCACAAGACATTTGAGTGTCAAGTAAGTTAATATAAAGTCAAGTAAGTTTTGATAACATTATGGGGTAAATATATTTGATTTATGATAGTCATGCAGTCATGACGTCTGAGTGTCATGACTGCAGAACATGCAGCTGCCTGGTGCTGACTCCTCCTCCTGACTGGTGAGCGTGCGCATTGCTTCATTCCCTTCCTTGCAGTTGAACTGTGTGTAGCGTTTCGTTTCCTCCTGAAAGCGCTCTCTTGCTGTTTTGGTTTATTTTCTATCTGTAATTTATCAGTACATCTGTCTGTTTAGAAAGTCTGTAAGTATTTCTGATAGTTTTCACCAAGCACCGTTTTTATCTCCACTCCGGGCGATCTCTCTGACCATTTACTTTATTAGCTCCTAGCTTAGCTTCTCTTAGCTACACTTGCTAACGATGGCTTCCCCCCGGTCGCCTGCTTCTCCTGCTCGCTTCTGCTCAGTGTGTCAGATGTTCAGTTACTCCTCGTCCTCCTTAGACGATAACGATACCTGCTTTAAGTGTAGTTTATTCTTAGCTCTGGAGACGAGGATTACAGAGTTAGAAAAGCGGCTCCGCACCGATGCTAGTGTAGCGATAGCCAGCCAGGACTCGGTAGCCGGTGCGGGTCGGCCTAGCTTAGCCTCCCCCGGCGAATCCCGAGCAGCCGGGATGTAGTAGTGGTTGGGTCACTGTGAAAGGGAAGCATAGCAGTAGACCTAAGAAGCCCACGGTAGACCACCACATTCACACTTCAAACAAATTTGCCCCTCTCAGCAACACACCTGCTGAGCCTGACGCTCTTGTGATTGGAGACTCTGTAGTCCGAAATGTGAAATTAGCGAAGTCAGCGGCCATAGTTCAGTGTCTCCCGGGGGCCAGAGCGGGCGACATCGAAGGTAGTTTAAAACTGCTGGCAAAGGCTAAACGTAAATTCCGTAAGATTGTAATACATGTCGGCATAAATGACTCCCGACGCCGCCAGTCGGAAGTCACTAAATTGAACGTGGAATCGGTGTGTGAATATGCCAAGACCATGTCGGACTCCGTAGTTTTCTCTGGTCCCCTGCCCGATCAGACAACTGATGAGATGTGTAGCCGTATCTCATCATTCAACCGCTGGCTGTCGAGGTGGTGTCCGCAAAACGGCGTGAGCTTCATTGATAATTGGAAGTCATTTTGGGGCAAGCCTGGTCTGATTAGTCGGGACGGCATTCATCCCACCCGAGATGGAGCGGCCCGTTTATCCAGAAATCTGGCCGATTTTATTAATCCGAACCACTGACAATTCAAAGCAGAGATCAGGGAGCAGGGCCGCAGTCTTACACGCCCCCCTGCGCCTCTTTTAGAGCAGCCTCCCAGCCACTACCACTTATACACAGAGACAAGGGAGCAGAGCCGCAGTGTAAAACGCCCCTCTGTACTCCCTTCAGAGCAGCTTCTAAGCTACTCTCAGCTTGACATAGAAATCAGGGAGCAGAGCCACAGTGTAAAACGTCCCTCTGTACTCCCTTCAGAGCAGCTTCCAAGCTACTCTCAGCTTGACATAGAAATCAGGGAGCATAGCCACAGCTCTACACGTTCCTCTGTACTTTTGTTAGAGCAGCCTCCTAGCTACTGTCACTTTAATATAGAGACTGTGTCTGTCCCTCGTACTCGGCTCTCAAATTCTAACCGATCAATTAAAAAAGGAGTAAATAACAAGAACCTTACTAGAATTAAGACTGTTAACATAGCTGAACCAAGTACTAGTAAGATAAAATGTGGCCTACTGAATATAAGGTCTCTAAATTCAAAATCTGTGTTAATAAATGAACTAATCTCTGATCATCGCATTGATTTACTCTCCCTAACCGAAACATGGCTGCGTAAGGATGAATATGTAAGTTTAAATGAATCCACTCCTCCTAGCCACCTAAACTTTCACATTCCTCGAGACTCCGGCCGAGGTGGTGGAGTTGCAGCTATCTACAATTCCAGTCTTAGAATTAACCCAAGACCAAAACTAGATTATAACTCTTTTGAAAGTCTCGTTCTCAGTCTCCCGCACCCAGCCTCAAAGTCCATGAGACCACTGGTATTTGCTATAGTTTACCGCCCTCCGAGCCCATACTCTGAGTTTTTGTCAGAGTTCTCAGAGTTCCTATCCGAATTAGTCCTTCTCGCAGATAAAGTCATCGTCGTCGGTGACTTTAATATTCACATAGATGTGGAAAATGATAGCCTAAGCATTTCTTTTCGGTCCTTGCTAGATTCAATTGGGTTTACACAGTGTGTACATAGACCTACGCACTGCTTTAACCACACTCTCGATCTCGTCCTGGCTTATGGCCTCGAAACTGATGCCCTGTTAGTCAGCTCATTAAATCCTCTATTATCTGATCACTGTCTAGTAACTTTTGAATTTGTGCTCTCAGGTTACTCTCCTCACAACAAAGTCGTGCTAACTAGAAGGTTGTCTGAAAATGCTGTGACTAAGTTCAAGGAGGTAATTCCGTCTGCTCTAAATTCTGTAGTTGAGAAAAACTTTACTGATAGCTCATATTTAAACATCAGTCCCTTGCAACTCGACCAGTTTGTTGATGATACCTCAGGCACACTGCGATCAGTTCTAGACTCAGTTGCCCCTCTTCGACAGAAAACTATTACACGCGAGAGGCTAGCCCCGTGGTATAATGCTGAAACCCGTGAGCTGAAACAGTTATTAAGAAAATGTGAAAGGATCTGGCAGGAATGTCTCGATAAATATAAGAAAGCCCTACGACGTGCTCGGACAACCTACTACTCGTCTCTTATTGAGGAAAATAAGAATAACCCCAGATATCTCTTCAGCACTGTAGCCAGGCTGACAGACTGTCCGAGCACCACTGAACCATGTATCCCATTAGCCCTTAGCAGCAATGACTTCCTGAGCTTCTTCAATGATAAAATCTTAAAAATAAGAGGTAAAATTAGTAACCTATTGACTCCACCAAGTGTCTCTCTCTCAGATAACCCTAAAAATGTTGAGGAGCCCCTAAGGCCTCTGGTGCACCTTAGTAATTTTGTACCTATTGACCTTCCTGAGTTAAAATCAGTGGTGCTAGCAGCCAAACCATCGACGTGTCTCTTAGACCCAATTCCATCTAAATTGCTGAAGGAAACTCTTCCTTTGATTAGTACGTCCCTGCTCAAAATGATTAACACGTCTTTATTAACGGGATATGTTCCCCAGTCTTTCAAGACTGCATTGATTAAGCCTCTCCTTAAAAAACCTACTCTAGACTCAAGCTCCCTAGCTAACTATAGACCAATATCCAACCTTCCTTTTATTTCTAAAATCCTAGAGAAAGTTGTTGCGAATCAACTCTGTGATTTTCTCCATAATAATGGTTTATTAGAGGATTTCCAGTCTGGGTTTAGAACCCATCACAGCACAGAGACTGCTCTGCTAAAGGTGTCAAATGACCTACTCATGGCCTCAGACAATGGTTTTCTCTCTGTTCTAGTCCTGTTAGATCTTAGTGCAGCATTTGACACAATTGACCACTCCATCCTGCTTCAGAGACTAGAACAATCTATAGGCATAGCAGGATCAGCTCTCTCCTGGTTTAAATCGTACCTAACAGATCGATCCCAGTTTGTCAATGTAAATAATAAATCCTCTGCACACACCAAAGTGTGCTACGGTGTGCCGCAAGGGTCAGTGCTCGGTCCAATCCTCTTCACCCTGTATATGATTCCGCTGGGTAAAATTATGAGGAAGTATTCGATTAATTTCCACTGTTATGCAGATGACACCCAGCTATACCTATCCATAAAGCCAGAGGAAGCAGGCCAGGTTGCTAGGTTAGAAGCCTGCCTCAAAGATATAAAATCCTGGATGACCAATAACTTTCTAATGCTCAACTCAGACAAAACTGAAGTTCTGGTCCTCGGTCCTAAACACCTTAGAGAGGCGTTCTCTAGT